GGCAGTTTGGGTTTTTTTTCCCCAAAACCATTTTATTGGGAACTAATACAGATATCATATCATTCCATAGTTCAATCACATCAAGAAGTATTGGACAATTGCTACCACAATCAGATTCAAAACTTTCTCTTTGATCTTGAACTCCTTGATATCAGCACCCCTTAACCCTCCTGCCCAACTCTATCCCCACAGGAATTCTTATTCTACGTGCTATCTCTAGGTTCATCAACCCTGAGTTTCATATGCCAAAAACCAAACAAACAAAAAAACCATATAACAAATATTCCAGAGAGTTACCCTCCAATGACAAAATACATCTGAGATAAACGCCACTACGGAAACAAACAGAAAATGTTGAAAACCAGATCGGGCCCAATGTATATTAGAGGGGGGATCAACTGACAAAGTTTTAACTGTCAGATTTATCATTTATCAGATCTCCTATAGTCATCTCACCAACACATTCTGTTTGGTAGCCAGTTTCTTCCTATCCCTTTATTAGGAACAGAGGGAATCATCAGAGGCTTATTTCCTGCATAAATCTCACAAATGTATCTGCAATTCCCACTGTCATCCATAGGCTTTCACAAACCAGAATCTCCCAGTTTAGGCGCTGATATTATTCCCTCTTTTGAGTTCAGATTATATAAATTGCAATCCTCGGGCCACTGATGTTAGTGTGCTTCTTCCATGTAGACTTACTTGACATCTCACTTAGATGGCCGCTTGTTTGGAAACAAGTCTTTAAGACCCCAGGCGCTATTTTATCTGATAGCTGGGCACGAGGAAGTTTTTGAAAGGAATATTTCATTGTTTAAAATCAGGAAAGGTGTGTGTCAGAGTTACATCTTTCCCCCAGACTTATTTAATGTGTATGCTGAGCAAATAATTTGAGAAATTGGACTGTATGAAGAGTTCAGCATCAGATTGAGAGGCTCACTAACAACCTACAGTGTGACAGTGACACAGACTTATTTGCTGAGATCAATGACGACTTGAAGAAAGTACTAATGTAGGTCAAAGACCACAACCTTCAGTATGGATTATAGCACAATGTAAAAAATAAAAACAGAATTCTCACAACCTGCCCAGTAGACATTTTTATAAATGGAAAAAGACGGAAGTCGTCAAGAATTTTCTTTTACTTGGATCTACAGTCAATCCATATGGAAATAGCAATCAAGAAATCAAAGGGCACTTACATTGGGCAAATTTGCTGCACAAGACCTCTTTCAAGTGTTAAAAAAGCAAAAATGCCCCATTTGAAGACTAAGATGCATCCTACCCAAACCAGGATATTTTCAGTCAACTCATACACATGTGAACATCAGACAATGACTAAGGAAGACCAGAGAAGAATGGGTGCTCTCGCATTACAATGCTGGTACAAAATATTGAACGTTTACAGACTGCCAAAAGAACACAGAAATCTGTCTTGGAGGAAGTACAAACAAGAGTGCTCCTCGGATGGCCGAACTTTGTCTCATCTACTTTGGACATGTGGCCCGGAGAGAACAGTCTCTGGAAAGGGAAGCATAAGGTAGAAAGTCAGAGAGAAAAAAGAGGAAGACGCTCCCATGAGATGGACTGACCCCGTGGTTGCAACAATAGACCCAAGCCTCAAACTTGTGGGGACGACACGGGCCTGGACAATGTTTCCTGTGATGTTCACTGCTGCTCACTGTGAGCCAGAGCCGACTCCACAGCATTTGACCAGAGCAACACACAAGGAACCTTGGTGATGCCGAGAGTTAAATGGTAGGCTACTAAGTGGGAGATAGTTGGGTTCAACTCCTCAGTCTCTCCTGGGGAAAAAGATGGGGCTGTCTGCTACTGTAGAGGAGCCCTAATGATGCCATGGTTGCACCTGGGGCTGGGTTCTTAAAGCAGTTTGAAACCACCAGGCACTCCTTGGGAGAAAGACAGGGCTCTCTACTCCCCTGCAGGGGCACTTCCACCCTGTCCTCTAGGGTTCCTATGTTTCGGCCTCAACTCAATGGCAGTGATCTTCAGAATCCATTCGGTGCCACTAAGCCTTGGTCAGTTTCCATCCCCTGAAAAATAACTTACTGTCTTGGGGGCCTTGATTATCTGGCTCATTCTTACCTGGCCTTGGTCCCATAGATTATGAAATGTTGGCTTAGTACTTTGCCTATTTGAATGATGTGGTGCTTTTTCGGCATAAGCTAATACAGCAGTTAAAAATTAGTCATGCTTATCAAGCAGAGTTAATTGTGCATTTCCTATTACTCATGGACTGTGCACAAACACTCATAGCGCCTTTTTGATTTACTGGGAGAATTAAGTACATGTCTTGATTAAGTTATTATTTTTACTTCTCAGAGTTCAACTTTGTTTCTTTATCTTTCATTTTTTTCATAAGAATACTCAAGAGTAGTGTGATCATTAATATGATTATGAGGTTTAATCATTTTTCCTAACTCTAGCTTTTATTCAAATCCAGTTTGAATGTTCATGATAATGTAGACTTTTACCTAATCAGCAATCAGTCCTTCTCAAACTCTCATTAATCAAACACATCTAGTATCTCCCAAACACAAATACATACATAAGAGAATGAAAGTTAGGTTAAATTTCCATTTTTTACCCTTTGTGACTGAATTAGTTTCTGTTTTGCATTTTTGGTTGATACCAGGTGCTTTTAATAATGGAAAGCATGCTTAAATCGAGGTAAACCGTATTTGGAGGTAATGTGGATTTTGATACAATTATGTGGCACGTATATGTCCTAAAGGAACTCTGGTGATAGGTTTGATGGCGTGAAGCGCATTTCTGTGGGTTCAGAAGATTATACCAATCTCTACCTGGCAGTAGCATGAACTACACCTGAGAGAGCAGCTCCCTAAGAAATTTGAGGCTGAAAATGTTGATTGGTGGTATACGTTGATGTTAAATGTTATTGAGAAATGACTTTGTAAAAGTAGCCTTTTAACTTTTAATTATGGAAAATTTGAAATAGAATACAAAAATAGAATACTTAGGTAAACTGGTGATTAATTTTGCCGTATTTATATCCACCACTCATTGCCCCAACATCAAGATTAACTTTACCAAACCCAATGTCATATAGTAGTACAGTACAGAATTGCAAACTTAGTACACAGAATTATTAGAAAAATACCAAAATTCTGTACAACTATAACGGCATCATTTCGATATATACCATTTTCAGCTCTTCCATGACAAAGCAAATTTTATCCTTCACTCCCAAACCACAGCTCAGAGCTAAACTACTTACGTGCAGTCTCGTATCTGCCTGCTTCCTGGTAGCGCAAGCACAGATACTCATCCTTACCATTACCATTAGCATCATCATCATCATTAGATGCAACCGCTACATCAAACAGTAGCGATGATATGAAGATAAATTTAAGTGAATGCGCATCAACTCTATAATGCAGTGGGAAAGAGGAAATTGGCGAAACACCAAAATATTGCTATGTTTCGCTACCTTTTGTTTAACTCCAGTGGTGGAATAACTCAATTTTGATGTAAAAGGGGTTTTTGTTTGTTTTTCGGTCTGTTGCTTTTGTAAAAGCATATTGCTTAAAATCTTTTTACTCAGGTTGTGATTCATATGACTTTAAAAATCAATTTTGGAACTAATTTCATGAGCAGACTCCAAAAGTCTAGGGTGATTATTTCTTGTTTAACAGTCATTTTAGCTGCCGAGCTGCGTGTCCTATAAATAGGGATAGGAGTAAGGCTAGGTATTCCCAACAAAGAAAAGGCAAGGCAGCAGAGAGACCGAGGGGAATGGGAGGTGTGCTGGCACAAAATCCCACCCGATTTATTCTTCTGGGCCTCATTTCTGGGGAGCCCTGCTGGCATTGTGGATTAGGCACTCGGCTGCTAACTCAAGGTCAGCGGTTTGAAACCACCAGCCACTGCAGGAGAAAGATGAGGCTTTCTACTCCCATACAAACATAATCTTGGGAACCCACCGGGGCAGTTCGAGCCTGCCTATAGTTGTAGCCTGTCACTCTGAGTCGGAATCAACTTGATGCCGGTGCGTTTAGTTTGGGGATTTTCTCCAGGGGACCAAGGGAGTGTCGGAGATGATAATAGGTAAGAAGAAACTGAAACTTTTAAGCAAAGCCAGAGCGTATTTGAAAAGACGGGTGGCATGTGATGATAAATGAGGGAATCAAAATAGTTCTAGGAGAGGTTTTGATTCCAGATACAATCTCGGAGAAAATGAAAACCTTATGCATGAAAACAATGTTTCAAAAGTTAAAAGGAAATTCAATTTTAACTATATTAATTATAAAACATTTGCAGTTTTGTGAAGTAGCTATAAAACTGAGTGCACATTTGTTTTGATTTTGTGCAATTTCCTCATCCTTTTCCTCTCCTATAATATTATTTTGTAGCATATTCTTTTATTGACAAACTCTATTTCTGAAGATTTAGGTCACTGAAGAAAAAGCATTTTCATGTCGTACATTCTCCACACTCCAGGGTGCCTGACTCTTATTTACAGTATGAAGTTACAACAAAAGCACCATAACTCAACAGAGTAACCTAATAACCAGCCAAATAAGTAAGAGAAAATGATGTAACATGTTAAGTTTTTAAATGTCAATCTACAAAGTGACTGAAGTCGCATAGCATCTGGATGGATGGTGATAGCTAGCTAGACGGATGGATGGATGGATGCAGAAAGGTCATTTATACTCACAAGTTCAGGGAAACCAAAGAATGCCTCCAAAGTAACAGGTGAGTTTCAACTTTAGCCATAGTCCTGCCCTGCCTCTTTTGAGTTCTGGGTCTGTGTCTTGTATTGCCACATATGATCAGAGCTTTGGAGCACAGGAGGACGAGTAAGTCATCAGTCTCTCCTGGAAGCCTTTGAATGGTTCCAGCTTTCCGTCCATCCAGTTCTCCATGTTACTGTATGCGGCTTAGACCAGTGTGGATCAGCCACATTTATTGTTGTCTCTGTGACTGAGACTGTCTTCTATGCCAATCTCCTCCAGGTGTCATTCTGTACATCCTGCTGGTGGGATATCCCCCCTTTTGGGATGAAGATCAACACAGACTCTATCAACAGATCAAGGCTGGAGCTTATGATGTATGTAGTCATTTTAGATAAAGATTCTTTGTCATTTGTATATTGCCTTGGTGTTTTTATTGATATTTTAAATATAATTCTCAACAATTGCCCGGATTAATTTCTCTCTCATAGGAAAAGGGAAATGTGTGAGTCATGAGTCATCCTCACATTTGTTGCTGTGTTTGAGCCTACTAAAAGGGAAATGAGTTAAAATGCATCACATATATTTAGTTTCTATTTCCTTTTAAGATTGGAAGGGAAGCATTGTAAAGGACTTTGCTTGTCAAAGTTTTAAAATCTTAGTGTATTTCAAAACATAAATTTTAAACTACCCTTATTTCTGTTTTGCGAAATCAATTTAAATTACATACTATACCTTGTTGCATTGGCCTATGTGTCATACAGAACCCATTTTTATATTTTAATGATTTTTAAGCAGAATTTATAATTCCCTAGGACCTGCTCCCAGAAGTTTTTTGTCATTGCTGTTAATTAACCAGAGAGGAGCTATTTTAGGTTTGGGGGCATCCATAGTTTCTGTCATATAGTCTTCTCTCTTGTTTTGTTATAGGTAACATTCATGAGTTTTTCTTGGGCAAAATATGTAATTAGATAGACTATCCTCTTTCTGAAGAGTTACCATGAATGCTTCTGATGTTCATGCAGTCTCAGCGACTTTCTTGTTATAATACTACAAACAGCCATCATTAATATCACTTTCAATACAGGGGTTGACACTAATTTATGATATCTGTTTTTATTCTACACAAGTTGTAAAATTAAATAATCCTTCACTGTAAGCCTTGCCTAATAGGATGATAACATTGATACATATGACACCTTTTTCAGTTTTTATTGATTTTATGTAAATAATTCTAAGGATTATTGTATATGATTTCTATTTTAGATCAAAGAAAGAATATTTGAGATGAATAGAAAATTTAAATTATGTGTCTAAACTTTAAAATGTGTCTACTAAATATAGCATGTACTTTAATATATCTATTCCTTATCAGTTATTTTTTTTCTTTTTTTCAATTATTCTTCTTTATTATATATAGCCATACTCTATTTTATATATAAACAAATACATGCACATAAAAAGAGGGACATAACTATATTTCTACGTGATTTAACATACCAAACATTTTTAAAGAAAAATTAACATTTTTGAAATGATTTCTATTTTTGGTTCTTCCCTGTTTTGCTGACCGTATCGACTTTTTAAACCCTTTATAAATCTTTATTTTCCAAGTTTCCATCCCCGGAGTGGGACACGGTGACTCCTGAAGCCAAAGACCTCATCAATAAAATGCTGACGATCAACCCGGCCAAACGAATCACAGCCTCAGAGGCGCTGAAGCACCCCTGGATCTGTGTAAGTGAGAGCTGGCTGAAGACTTCAGGAGCTGCACTGAGAAATCAACTCGCCTTTAAAGAGAGAGAGAGAGAGAGAGAGAGTGTGTGTGTGTAGAATAATCTCGCAGAAGACTATTGAACCCAGAAGGAATAAGTGTGTGATGGAAGTTATTTAACACAACAGATGCTATAAGGATGAAAAGGGTTATGTTGGAAGGTAAAGTCCAGTTGATAAAGGTTGCCAAATAAATGGTGCCTACAGTGTTATTTGCGGTCCCAATTGCATGCCTGTTACCTGTGGGACTCTAAAAGCAAGGTCAGCAACTCTCTGGGAGAAAGACAAGGCTTTCTACTCCCAGAAAGAGTTTCCGTTTTGGAAACTCACAAAGAACAGTTCTACCCTGTGCTGCCGTGTAGCCATGAGCTGGCATTGACTTGGTGGCGGTGAATGTGAATGTGAGTACAGTTATTTAAAATCAGCATTTCCCAATGTAATCTGTCAGAATTCATGAAGAGAAGTTAAGAAGACAGCACCAAAAAGGTAAATGTTTTCCAGAAGAAAAAAAATAAAGTTATTAATGAATTCAGTTATTTTTGATCAGGCATCTGTAGAATCCAGTGTGAGGTTTGGGAGCAGGAGAGAATTGTACCAGCAGAGAAATGTAGACTGTGGCAGTGTGAATATACTTAAAAGGGCAGCGACAACTAGTGTGAAACTAGGGGAATAGCTAGAGCCGCTACTAAATTTTTAGAAATGCATGTCAAATGTTAAACCAACAAATATTATGGTAAAGAAACAAAGGAGAGTCTAAAAATGTGATTAACGATATATTAAAGTAAATATAATTTAGGAAATTGTATCTACTTAGACACTTTTGATGTTCAATTTTGCATCTTTGTCATACTTAATCTTGGTAAAAATCAGTCTTTTTCATGACTAGGTTCACGTTGACAAGTGAACACTTGTAAGTTGACTGCAGACACGGTTAATTGAGTTTTGATGAGGTTGAAGTTACTATTATGCTTCGTATAAGTGTGCTCAATTAAGGTTTGTTGTCTGTTTTCCCTCCTCCTCCAGCAACGTTCTACTGTTGCTTCCATGATGCACAGACAGGAGACTGTAGACTGCTTGAAGAAATTCAATGCTAGAAGAAAACTCAAGGTAAGAAATTTCACCTTGTTGTAGGGACATAGCGTTGCTAAGAGAGAAGTGAGATACCGTGTGATGAAAGTCGGTTTTAGAAAATTACATGTGTAGACCTCAGTAGTCTTGTTGCTTTTTCCCCTGGATTTGGGGGGAAGATGGAAAATACCCTGGAATTAAGCCTGTGGTGAGAAAACAAGACTGTGGTGGTGGGGTGTGCTGTGGTGCAATTGGAGAATCGGACTCTGGTCACATACATTCAGGCAGTTCTGACATTATGAGAGGTCTACTCTCCAGAAACAAAGAGGCAAACCAAACAAAAACCCTTACCTGAAAGGAGGGCTAGGGAGAGATTTCTTACCCCAAACTGTGTATTTGTCATATCAGAGTCTCAGAAATGGCATGACATTTGTATTCCTTCTCCTTTCACAGGGTGCCATCTTGACAACTATGCTGGCTACAAGGAATTTTTCAGGTACATGTGTGTTAAACACTCTGCTCTTCATCCTCTGTTCTGTTATACTTGTTTATTCTAATAAATTATGCACACACACACACATATATGGTGGCAGATGTCTGAACTTGGATTCCTTCTACATCTCTGTAAACACCTGAGTGTGCTCTGCTCACAAGAGCTCCCAGGCAGTCCGGTCAAAATCAGTGCAGGTATAGTCCTGGTCACCTATCTGTCCTCTCTGCTGGGATGCACATACGTTGTGTGAATATTTAGTTCCTAATTTTAAAGCTTAGCATTTTGAACAAGAATGAATGAATAGAAAATTCATAAAGTAATAACTACAAATTAGTTTTTTAATCTTTGTCTCAAAAGGAAGTCCCAGTTAACATGATTTTTTTTAAAGACCATTGTTGAAATACTCTTAGGCTTGAGGTTTTTTGTACTGTATTATACTATCTTGGTTTGCTTTTAAACTGTTTGTTTATACATTTCAAAGGTATCACACTTGAGAATGTACAGAGAACTTGCCAGGTAGTCATATTATAGGATCACAAACATTCCTCAAAATGATTCCATGGTAAAAGTAAGTTTCTTAAATAGTAGGCTAAAAGAAGCCAAACCATTGATCATGGGACTGACTCCCCCAAATGGGAACAGAATATCTATAATTTTCATAAACTTTTAGAGTTTTGGAGCCCCCATCTTTGATGGATTATTTAAAATACCCAGCAGCATTCTAAAAATCAAAATTTGAGAAATGCCAATCAGTCATAGACAGGACAAATAACTGAAGCATTGAGAACACTGTACTCAGAAAGCTTTCTGATTACCTTTTATACTGGAAGCAGTTGTCAAATGACTAAGGCCCAAAATACTATCACTTTAGTGACATGTAAACCATGATCTGCTGCAGCATCAACTTGTCCAGCTGTTGTCTCAATTCTTGATTCTACTTCCTGCCGTGAACTTAGCCTGAGTCTTGTAGTAATGTCAGATAATAGTCATGATCCATATTCTAATTTTTTTAAATATATTAAATTATACAGTCTTTATTCATTAAGTATAGTTATAGATAATGTGAAACCATGAGAGGTCTTCAAAAGGCCTCCACTGAACAATTAACAATAATATGATGATGATGATTAATGTTACAAATGGAGGGATTATGTTAGTTGATTGTATGTATTTTGTCTAATGTGTTTGGTGTAATAAAACTTTGTTGCTGCCTTTGTCTAGTTCCCTGTTTTGTATACAGTTGATTAATATTGTTGACATTTATATGGGTGAGTTCAATGCCATCTTATTAAATATTAACTAATAAATACTATAGTCAAATAAATTAATATTTCACTGTGGCCCAACAATTGGTGAGTGGCTAAAAGGTACGATGCTTTCTCTGATATGTATTGTTAATGACAAATCAATCTTGATAATCACGATTATATATTTTGTTAAAATGTTGGATACACTCTGGCATAAACTGGGCCTTTATTAATAGAAACACCCACGTTTGGAAGTTTTTGTTTACCTCACATTTTACTTTTCATTGTATTTATAAACTAAAAACTCATGACTAACATGTGGATCTTATATCATTTCTTAATGTTTTAGCATGCCATACAAACTTTTTTTTAATCCATCACTTGAATTGAGTACCATTAGAACCAGTTACATCTTGTACTTGATGCTGAGTTTTTCGTTTGTGTATCCTGTTCATTCTGTTTCATTGCCAGACATGCTCTTTAAAGTAATTTGTCCACAGTATATGGTTATAAAGTTGTTTTTATTTTTTTCTTTTCTCCCTTTATGTGGAATATATTTCTTGTGAGGTAAGGTGAATAGTAACCAAAAGAGACATTTCTGCATCTTCCAGGCCAACCCCCTGCTTACCCTGAACCATTGTCTTCTCTTTGCTTGCTATTGCAGTTCCAATTATTCTAAGTTTGCTCTCTAACCTATTAACTGCCACTGGATTAATGTAATACTGTATTTTAGCTTTAGGCAAATTGTATCATATCTAACGCAACTGTGTATTACAATCTTAATTAATAATAAATTAATAGCTTTTTTCTAAAGACTAAATAAAGTTAACATGTTTGTATTTTTTAAATAAATTTTAAATGATATCAAAGTGATATCATAATAATACTCTCAATCAAACAGCTGTCAGGAGAATTGCATGTTCATGTAATTCTATTATAGCCACCTATTTTCATTACAAATGCCAAAGTCTATTCTGATGGACAATATGTCTGCAATATTTACAATTAAACCCAAATGGAAATGTGTGTACTTTGTTCTGCATATTCTTATTTTGTACACTTTGTTTACTAATTGTCATTGACAATAATATCTATTCACTTTGTATGTACCCATGCATCAGTATATTTTTTGAAAGAGTGAATTCACCATCTAATAGACTCAAGAAGTTCAGTAACAAGCAATTTTAAAGGCATTCTCTCCAAAGGGGCAGGGTTGGGGGGCTTAATATAAGTCCTATGCTTTGAGATTTCTCTGATTGGGTTGACTCATTTGAAGGCTTCATTTTGTTTTTATACTTTATCTAAGATATTATCATTTTTTAACTTTTTAATGTATAAGGCTTTTCTTGTTTATGAAGCCTTCGAGTTCCAATTTTGAAGTGTTAAGAAATACATCATGTCATTTTTCAAAGGGCATATGTCAATAATATAAAATATCATTTCATTTGAATGCAGTTATTAAGATATTTTTGTAAAAAACAATTGTCTGACAGCAAAAGCATACACAAGATGTTATTTAACCAGAGCAGAATTGACAAGTTTTCAACCTTTAGAAGGCGGGGCTGAAATGGCAGGTCTGACATGGTCACCGTACGTGTGGTGTGAATGAACATGCAACACAATTTGTGAGTTGATGTCTGAAGACAGCAATCAACTTTCTGGATTACAAACATAGTCCAGTTAAAGTTCCAGTATCCTTTTCATAACCAGCAGTGAAATGAAGTCCCAACTGGCAAAGGGTTCAATTACATACAATGAACCCAGTAAAGAATGTGTTCCAAATTCAATGTGGCAAACCCAAGAAAAGTGATACTGCATTTCAATGTCCTGTCGGCTCGCGCTCATCATGTGACATGGGTAACCTGGCATATGTCGGCCCTAACCCAGCAGAGGCGGTAGAAAGACAGAGCAACCTGGCCATTGGTGTTTATGGATGATCCACTAATGGGGTTTTACTCTCTTTCTGCAGCAGCCAAGAGTCTGTTGAAGAAACCGGATGGAGTAAAGGTAAGTTAAACAGGTGTTCCTAAACCATTTCTAACTTTCAAATGTTGTATCATTTCAAAATGTGAACTATGAACGCCTCATAATTGAAACATATTTTTATGGCTGCTGATAAAGGAGATACCTCGAATTTGGAAACCCATTTAATAGGCAAAAGTGACTAACATTTATACCAAGAATTTTTTCCTATTTTATTACATATTAAATAGTCGTGGTAAAATAATATTCATATATGGATTAGCTATAGAAATTGATCAATATCATCTCTGTTTCACGATGGTCTGAAACTGTCTTGGTGACCTAAAGATATGTAAAAACTAAATACCTTTCCGAATAATTTATGCTCTGTTCTTAAAGACCACTGAAATGTATAACGTTAAAAAAAAAATACTAAGCCCTTCAGTCTGTAATCAAACGTCAAATTATTAAATTTCTCTGCCTACACAGATTTTAGCAGTCTTAATGGTTCTTGTGCTTCTATCATAACCTACTGAGACATATTCAAGGTAAATGAACTAAGCAACCATCAGGTAAACAAGAGCCCAAGAAAGATAACAGTAGGATATTTTGGCTTTCTTGGATTCCTAAACAATAACAAATTTCCACTCAATGATATTGCAACATGCTTTCTACAGATTCTATTTGTGTTCATAGGAATGTACCTCTGATTGAACGGAACGTTGTATTTACATTATGTGTGTTATATTTGCAGAGTCAACTAAGCAATTTATTTCCTTAATGCTTTTCTTTCTCTTCCAACGACAGATGCATACATTGCTCATCAACTCTTCAACGTTCTTGGGAATTAGTTAATGTTCTAACATTTGAACTTGGCTTAAAGTTAGGTGGTCACTATGTATTGAAAATAGAGCAGAAAGTCATTTGTCATTTCTTATGTCTGTACCCAGTCATTTCTCCACCACCTGTCTGTGTGCAATTTGGGAATTTCCAGAGCTATGGTGACTAAGCACTTGTGATTTCCAAGAGAATGGCTTTTGCCTTTTACCAATTGCTATTCTCAACTCATGATTATTATCGTCTTCCTGCCAAGTTTATTTTATTTAAGCTTTCAATATGGCAAATGATATCTGCCTTTTCCCCAGTAGTACTTTGGTGGAAAAAGCTCCCCAATGTTTTATTATCCTGTGTTTTTCTTTGACATTCAGGGAGGCAAAGCTCACAATTTCTCCTGAGATATTTATTGTCACCGCTATCCTTATATAGGAGGAAACGCTTCCCAAACTTTTATTTCCCGCCTAGGCAAAATTACTGTGTACTCCATGTCCTGATCCCATAAATTCAGCCGGTCATGTATATATTTTTTCTCTTCCTTTCCCTGTGACCGGTCAATTCAGAAAAGGAAGTCCAGCTCGAGCGTTCAGATGATGGTGAGGATCTCTGTCTATGCTAGATTTAAGGCTCCTGTAAAAACACACCTTGGGAAGAAAAGATCTTACTGACGACCCTAGTTCGTGTAAATGTAGAAAAGAAATATAGGACCATTAAAAGTCAGTGCTAATCAAGTACAAAAGCATACTTCCTAACTTCTACTTTTTAATTTTTCTTCTTTGCACTTGAGATTTTAGAATATGTAAAAAGCTATGGCTTTTTCATGCCCATTTGCTATCAATGGTTTAAGCTTCACAAAGACAGAATTTTCTCATTGGATCTAAGAGATCATGACACGATCTGTTTATTGATAAGTGAGGAAACACTACATAATTATACATAAAATGGTAACTATAATTGCTCAGACAGATATGAGTGTTAATTCAGACATGTCTGTGAAAGTGAGTTTACACTGAACCCATATTAGAAGAAAACAGAGGTTTGTTAACTTCAAACCTTAATGGACAACACCATTGAATATCTTGCACATGCCTTATAAGAATCATTTACAGCATCATTAAATATTTGATTTGACCCATTTTTAAAGGAAAATATTCTGCTTTTATAATATAAAATAAGCTACACTAGAAAACAAGAGTGTCAGAGTATTTGTATATTATAAAAAGCGATGGATGAACTCCCCCTACTTGACATTTTCCTCATATGGAGTAAGTTTCTCTATTCTTTTATTTAGAAATTCTTCTGTTTTGTTTAGTTAGCTCATATTACAAAATGCCTTCAAAATATCTCATGTGTGTTTTTTTAAAATCACGTAGTTGACTACATTAGCAATTTTTTATCTGAACATTTAAACATGATTGAAATTGATAGTTGAGGTGCATATTCATTTAAGTGGTACCTTCATTTGGAAAGGATGATGGTGTGTATGCTGTACACAAGTGTGTGAAAGTGGGCAGTTGGCTGTGTGTGTGTTAGGCTTTTATGCCTAGGTGTGCACGTGGAACCATTTTCACTAAAATAAGTAGTTCTTGGCAACCACAATCATGGGGGTAGGGGGAGATAAAGCTGGCCTCTTATCTCAAAACAAAAATTGAAAGTATCTCAGAATACTTCCCTTTGATTCTCTGTATCCACTGGTGTACTGACTATAGCATGCATATACATATGGTGCTTTACTCACTTAAAATAAAGTCCTGATCGCTTATTAAGAAAAAGGTCATTGGTGTTTTGCCAAGCACTCTTCCTAATAAAAGTTATGTGTGTTCACTCTCTTCCCCTTTCCTTTGGATTCTATGCTAACATACAACCTTAACTTGATCCCTTCTATTAGACTTCATTATATTGTAACTCTATGCACTTTGATTTAAAGAGAGTTTTTAAACACACTGTCTGCAAATTATTGATTGGCAATTAAACACTTAAAGTGTTCCAGTAAAGGACACTAAAGTTTTTCTACCTTTTTGCATATCGCAGAGCACAATGTTACAGCCTATTCAAATAAGAGTAATACCCAGTAATCCAATAAACAAAAACTAATAGAAAAGCAATGTATCACATACCTAAAATAACTTCTATCACGGTCCGTCTTCCTACCTGTGTTAATTTCAATAGGATCTCTATGTACAAAATAGAAAACACTTCCCTGAAATCCCCAACAGTTAAATTGGTGTCATTAGGCAAATACTCCATTATTTGTGTGTGTGTGTGTGTGTGTGGTGTATTGTCCTTAAGTGCATTGATAATAAAAGGATAGGGGTACATTCCTTTAGCTAATAATGCCTATACAATACACTGATAGAAAATAAATTCTAATTTATATTTCTGTTTGATAATATAAAACTTCCTGTGTGAGTTTTAAAAAATGTTGATTACATTTCAGCCTTTCATTCTCAGTTGTGACTTCATCTGTGCACTCAGCCCAGTGCTTCACTATGTCACTTGCAAGGTCATAGTGACCGATACTCTAAAGTCAAACCCAATTATGCTAAAGCAATAAAGTGGTGGTTTTCAACAACACCAATTCCCTTTTAATGCCAGTTATAATTGGACAGAAAACAGTATTTTCTTAAACAAATTTGAAAAATAAAGCCCATTTATATGCAGACTACTCTAAAGACTGATGAATCCATTTTTAATTGAAGATGTATTTCATAAGGGACACCCAGACTTATCATTTTAAATATATGTATGTTACCACATATATATGTAATAAAGTCTGTATTTCATCAGAAGATCTAAGATTTTAATTAGATTGCTACTAAGTAATGATGCTGGCTCCCCAGAGAGACCGATGGATGGTGTGTGACTTCAGGTTCAAGAATGAGATGGGAAACAAAGGAATGTATTCCTGATAGTGAATAATTGGAAGCTTGGAAACAGAGCCCAACCTGAAGTATGAAAATGTCCATGTCCGTTGCTACTCTGAAACTTGATTTGAATGCCATGCAGCGGCTCTTCGGCTGTTTGGTAAAATGCACAGCCAAAGCAGCCCCGTCTGTCATATCTTCCTGCATCACACGGACAGACCCAGCCTCTGTGTGACCCCTGAAGACTAGCCGTGGCCGCCGTTCCTGTTCCTGTCCGTCACCTTCATCTGTACGGGCTCTTTCTCATGTCTGTGTGACATGCTGCAGATAGGGGCATTGGCTACCAAGGGGCCTAAGGCATCTCTATTTCTATTTTCTGCATACCTACAGATAAACAACAAAGCCAACGTGGTAACCAGCCCCAAAGAAAATATCCCCACCCCGGCGCTGGTATACCTGGACTCTTTGTAACCCTTCTTTAAGTTCTTCACTGTTTTTTGTTGTTCCTTTCATTTGCTCTCACTGTATAGATGTATGTCTGTATATTTAAATAGTTTGGTGTTGTTTTTTTCTTTTGCTCTCAGGCATAAAAACATCATTTCTTTTTTATTTTCTTTTGTTTTCTCGCTGTCAAGTAGTGTGTTTCTAACATGAGATTCTCTCACTTCGTTGTTGGATTTTGTACCGATCGCTGTGGTCTCTGGCGTTGAACGTGTTTGCATGCTGCCTTAGAAACACAGTCGAATGTGCTTAGGTTGCTCTTAGCTCTTCTCCTGATGACCACTCTAGATCATGCAAACAATGGTTTCGTCTCTTCGTGACGTAAATGGTACATCAAGTGGAGCTAATGTCATTGTTGCTTCAGATCAATAAAGTGGACCTTATTCAGAGTTCCCATTTCCCTCTTATGAAAAGTCGCAGGGCTTTGTAAGACCTCACTTTGTGAGATACAGAGGCACTAGAAAATGCTTTTTGATAGTTGTGTTTTAGATGAATCTTATCACTGTTTCGGTTTAATCCAAAGAATAAAATCGCATAGCATTAGAGCTTCGGATTTTCAATGGAAGCCATTTTTTCCCCTCCATTTCAATCAAATCCACCCTATAAAAACTAAATCAGATTAACAGCTCGAGATAGGATTGTGTTAGAATTCGAAACCTGACCACTAACTCTGAATGCTAATTTAGTGTTCTGAGTTCTATACTTTACCCAAACTATTCCTTGTGTTGACTTTTGATTTTCATAAATGTTTCTGTTTTTGACTTTTTGAAAACTGTTCTCTGACAATTAGGGGAATTGAAAGTGTTAGTGAGTTATTTAACCTGTGAGGGGTTCAAAAACGTATTCAAGAATGGCAAGCCGCTGTGGACAACAGGTTACCTACTAGTAAAGAACAACATTGATGACAACTCTATCCGGGAAAAAGAAGGAGATGAGCAAGTCAATGTCTTTTCTACAAAATGTGTGGTAGCATGAAGATCCTGCAAGTGGAGAATGCCTATGGGACAGAACTCCCAACAGATGGTTATAATTCCCAAGACATCATGTAATGAAAGTACCAAGCATGCCATTCATAGATGTACCCTAAATCTTTTATTTTACGCCAATTACTTATGTATTAGTTTCTATTTCACATGATTTCTCCAATTTTCTGGTAGAAAAAAATAGGGGAATATTTTTTTTTCTGCCCTCCCAGAAAAGCGTAACTCTGCAGTCAATCTTCTGTGTATATATAGCTCCTAAAGCAGATATATTAATTTCAGTTTGAATTCACAGTTTGACAAATGTTTCTAAGTACAGTGATTATATCATTCATGTTAAGGCCTTTTAAAGGTTTCTTGGAATGTCTTACCATCTTTTGAATCGCATTCTTTAGAATAGAATACTTTTTTTTTTTTTAAGTGTAGTCCATTGGGTGTCTTTTTTTTTTGCTGAGAATTATGAGGACGATGCCATAATCAATACAATTGGAACGTATTACAAAAGAATGCCACTAAAAGTATACTCACATAGGATGTAAGGTCACAGTTGTCTCAGGGACAGACATTTAAAGGCCACCGAATAAAGAAGACAGGCTCTCCCTGGCATAGGTCTTTGTGAAACAGTGAGTGCCTCTGGGTCTCGGGACTTCAAAGCCTTGACTAGATGCTGATGGAGAATAAGGTCTTTTGCATGCTGCTGCTGGGCGGGGGGTGTCCTGTCTCAGGAGCTCATCTGGAATAGCTTTCATCAGAGACCTTGTCAGCTGCAACCTCTGACAGCGGTTAACATCGCTTTAGCTCTTGTCACTGCTGAGTTTTGTCTGCTGGCTTACTCTGCTCTTGCCCTCCCACTAGTAAGAATGTACTTACCGATGCAAACTGTTTCTTTCTCTATTTTGTTCTCACTCAGGAGCCCCAAACTACTGTAATCCACAACCCTGATGGAAACAAGGTATTCAGAAAGAACCAACCTCATCTGGCTTTCACAAGATTACACATCTCGTCAGATATTCAAAGCAAAATACATTATTCTAAAATAGAATAAGCCCCCTTGCCCTTTTTCTAGGCCACTTTCTTGGGGGTCTACATTATCAAGACCCATTACACGTACTCCGTTCAAAACAAAATGAATTATCAGACCTTGAACAACAAACGAATGGTCCCGTTAGTCAATAAAGTCACAACATCCGGCTTATAAAGTCTTCATGTCAAGATGATTGTGTATCTAAAGTGATTCCATCTGCTCTTTTCCGTTTCTCTCATGCCTGTTCGTGCATCATACTGTAGATGTATTCTGCATGAAATTTTAGTTTCTTGCTGTATCATTCCACTCTCTTCCAAAAAAGGACAATGAAGCTGAATCCATACATATTTTTTTAATTTGGTGTTGCTTTTGAGTTCATAAATCTATGATGAGTTCTATTCAGCTGTGTTGTTGTAGTGGTTTCTCTTTGATTTTTTGGTTTTTCTGCTTCTTAAACTCTTGGTTGCAGGTGTTGGTTGGCATGGATTGGAGGAGAATGAGGGTTTCATTTCTTGTGAAATGTGTTTTTTGTTGTTGCTGTTTATATGCATATCAGTAATGAACATTTAATTGTGTTGAATGAAGACTGTAATATTCACCACACGCTGTAAATTCATTACACAGTATGTTAACTAAATACTCTCATACATGTCCACAGGATGAAAGGAGACATTTTCTGAATGTGTATGTTCCCGTTTATTATTTCTCTTACATTATTATATTTCTAAGGAAGGCAAATACTTTCTTAGAGTCTTATCAAACATTAAATGAAACCAGGGGCTCTTATTTCTTGTTACTCTTATCAATCATGTTTAAGTCTTAGGAAAAAAATTTCTTCCGGTTTCGCTCTTAGTTAATATTAAAATCGTTAAAATAAAAAAGCATGAAGTGTTGTGTCCTTTAATGCAGGGTTTATTTTATAACTTTGACACTTAAAATGCTGTACGTCCCTGAAAGACTTGAGGCAGTCAGGACCGTCACATGTGAACACAAATATTTAGACTATCATTACCAAAGGAAAGAGCAAGGCCAGCAGCTGGAGTGGACACGTCGCTAGTAGTAGCTCTATCCATTGTAAGAGTTGCTGCATGATATGTCTTGCTTACATGAATTAGTTTATTTTTACAATGCATGCATGTACTTCATCTTGTGTTTTTATTTGAACACTAGGTCACAATAAGAAATGCATGAAGACTTTTCTTTGGTTTTTGTGTGTATGGAGACTCTGGTGACATCTTTAATTAGTTTAAAAGGAGCTCTGAAGCCTAGTGGCTTACCACTCAACTGCTCACCACTGGGAAGGTCAGCAGTCTGGACCTCCCAGCCATGTTGCCGGAGAAAATCCTTGGAAACCCTCTAGGGAAGTTGTTCTCTGTCCTCTAGCGTCTCTTTAAGTTAGAGTCGATGGGTAGCAGTGGAATGGGTTTCTATCAGCTTACATAGTATATATAGTAATTATACAAGTTAATATCCAGTTTGACCTTTGAATCTCAAAAAGGACATTGATTCATGTTTGAGTAATTTACCAAAGTGTGGTTTGCATGTTGAGCATGTAACTACTGATTGGGTTCTTGCTTCCAATTGTTGTCTCGGCTCTTAACTTTAATCATTCCAACAAGTGAAAACTTACGTCTTATGAATATTGCTGTATGTTTATTAAGCCACTTTAGGGGATGGATATTATGATTGACAGTTACAGGGCCTGTGAAGAGTGTTTACTAATTTCAGTTTCAATTATGGAATAGCTTTGCCTTCCTTATGGGAGCAGAGATCTTATCGATGACAGCAATTTCTAATTTCGAAATGAATGGAAAATTGAGGTATCCTTGAAAGTAAATTATTCATCATAAATGTAGGATTTGAAAATTCCTAAAAGTATAGTCAGCATATGTTAGCTTAGTAGCTTTAGCGTCTTCATCAAAGGACGCAGTGAAATGCCTTTTTGTTCAACAAAGGAATGAACAGTCTGGAAATGCAGTGCTTGGCATGGTGCCTCACACAAAGAAGGTACAGTTCGTGGGTAATTAATTAGGAAAAAAATTTGTATGTTTTGTTCCATTATGCCAGTATACCCATTTCCTCATAAATATACAGGAAAAAATGCATCTTATGGGGCATGGTGACACAAACATGGTCTCACGGTTTTTAATATAAATCGCATACTTCTGTGCTTTCTACAAATTGCCTAAAATCACATGACCTCAGAGATTAGCCAACCAGAATACTCCGTGTTTGAATTCTGTGCAGTATTTCAGCATTTTATTTCTGTTTAAATCACATAATGTATTTGTTCATTTGCATGTCCGCATAAGCACACGGCCTGCTGCAGGATTTTGCATGATGTACATCACTGTCCATATATTTTTATATTTTCTTCTTTCTTTTTTTTAATTCAAGAAGCCAACCTGTTCATTGTTTGCAACTTGAATGTGTTTTCTTCTCAATAGGAATCCACCGAGAGTTCAAACACCACAATTGAGGATGAAGATGTGAAAGGTATGAATAAGTTAGAAATGAAGAATTCTAACCCAGAACATATTTCAGAGATTAAAATAGTATGTGTAGTTTTTCAAAGTAACTACAAGTTTGGGAACTTGGTAGATACAAAATATTTTCCTTTTATGAGAACATTATTATTTAAGCTATGTGGATTTAGTTTGTCACATTTTTTCTTTCATAATTATTTTCTCTCATTTGTTAAACTGTAGATAACGTGATATAGTTATATACACTGGGATTTCAAACTAGTAACAGTAGTTTGGAAATGTAATATCTAAGTCTTGGTTACATTCATGACCCCATCTAGAATGTGATGTATATTCAAGGATGGAGTATAATTCTTTTTGTAACTTTAGACAGGTTTTATGGAATATAGTATTTGTAGTTGGCTTCCTTTTTTTTCTCAATCCTAGGTTTTCATGGGCTTTTCTGTTTCATTCTTGATCTTCATTCAATTCAGTCACCAGCACTATTTTAGCTGTAGGTCAGCACCACTCCTAGCACATTTTCAGGCATTATCTCAATGCCTCTGCCCACACATACTAATCACATGTTTGAAGTTGGCCTACTTCTTTACTGCATTGCTGATTTGAAAAGGTTCATTTTGCTTCCTTCTATTTTTGCAGCATTTTATTTTTATTTTGGTAATTCAATGTCTGTGACTACACTCTGGGCTTGTCTAGAAGCAATTCCACAAAAGAAAGACCACACTAGAGATACTTAAAGGAACAATACACCAATTAAGTAAATATAATCAGAAAATACAATTGCCTAAAATAGGAGCCTTTAATCTAATGGTGGAATGAGCAAGTTATCGCCGTGACATGTTACATCCATGTGAATGAATGAAGAGCGTGGAAACCCTTAGCTGCAGGAGCGGGGTGGGAAATACAGGAAGTAAAGCTGGCTACAGACCACACGCTCACATTCACCTCCTCTGATTTTTTCCTCTTCGGTTGGTTAGCACAGCTGTAGCTATTAAAGCACACTATTTACATTATTAGCGCACTGACCTAACTCTGCCGAAGGTGGCTAATCATTATTTTTTACAGTTGAAAGGTAGATAGCTGTGCCGAAGATTTGATTCAGTAAGGTTATTGATCTCGTTCTTGCCCCTGAGCTTAAATTTGAGCTGATGTGACTTTATGAATCATCGATGCCAGTCATATTCAAGAGACAAGTTGTTTGCTTTTGCGATCAAAGGAGCAGGTGTGCCCTGGAGCTTCCCGAGGATTCAGAAAGCATCATCTCTGAGGGTGCCTTCTGTCCCTTAGCCCTGTCATCACTCAACATGTTTACAGGAGGGTTTCGTGCTCGTCCCTTGAATAGGAACCAGAAAGAGAAAATAACCAGTGCACGACGGGGCCTTCAAAGCGTTTATAGAAAAATTCTCTTATCTTTTCATTCTCTCACTATCCCCCGGGGAGGTTGAATCTTTAGATAACTAAATAGGATGAGGAAAATTGGAACATCTCAGTAAGCACACCAAGAGAGAAAGAGAGAGAGAGAGTTAGCTCTTTCTCCAAAGGAATGTGTTTAATCCTTGGTGACCATCAAAGGAATACAACCACAACGAAGACAACCCACTGCCAACAAGTCAACCCACTGACAGCAGCCCTGTACAGGGTTTCGGAGACTTTGTAAATCTTTACAGACAGCGGCAATCTTCTCACACCAAGTGGCTGGTGGCTTTGAGTCGCCAGCGTCATGGTTAGCAGCACTCTAACATTTACCCACGGGTCCTTTGGTGATCACAGCAGGGCTTTAAAAATTTTATTTCTTATCTCACTTGACTTCTTACATATATCTACTAAGGATTGGTTCAGGATGACTTTCTATTAATTTATGTAATTATCAGTCTATAAAGAGAGCCTGCCAGTATTTCTGTGAAGATTGACATATTTTCTTCAATCAATTGAAATTCTATCATTAGTACTAAGATCTCAATTATCTTCTACAAATCACAGCAATGCTATGTGTTTCATCTTGAATTTTCCAAATTGGTCTTTATAGTTATGCTGCTTCTAAACTCACCAATTGATAGAGAAAATAAGCTAAGGTGACCAGACACCCCGCTTTTGGCGGCACAGTCCTGATTTTTAACAGTTTATCCCACATCCCGCGGCGTTTTTAAAAAGTCCCAATTTTTGGAAAGAATGCATGACAAGCTAGGGTATATGGTTTTCAGCTGCCATGTGGCTATTTCACCAGGATATGAGTTTTATCAATGGTGTCCCACTGGTGTCCCGCTTTATCAATGTTAAAATCTGGTCACCTTAAATGAAGCATAAGATTGGGACCAAAAGAAAAATGCAGCTGATAGTTGAGTTCAAGGTGCTTTAGTTTATTCTTTTAACTGAATAAATAAATTTTTTTGCTTACTTTTACTATTCTGAATCAGTCATAGCTATAACCTATGAGCCCCCATTTATATTCGTTCAGACCCATAACAGCTTTCTGCTGGTAACCCTTTTTAATGTTGAATTATATCAGGGATCTTTCAGACTAGACGACATTTCGAAAGGTCACCCAGACCATCTTTCTGACTGTAAAGCAGGTGTATGAAAACTGTCATAGGGGCCTTTAATATCTGTATTATTGCTGGTGATATGCTGGTCCAGCATCTATTAGTGCATAGTTCTCCAGAAAGACCTTAACATAGTGTGGCATTTGAGTGGCTCTGCTTGTACATCTTTACTTCACAGTTTTCTGTAGCTCTAAGTATCCTGTTAGGGAAGGTATTTATTTTCCAGCTCCATTGAAACCTAAAATTAGCTCTATATATAACACTACGAGTTCACAGGACAAAGCTTATGTAACCACGTCTTCTGAAGAAAACCATATTTTGTCTACAAAAGTTGCATGCCTTCCTTCCACACGCTTCTCAGCTCACCCCTTTCAGTACAATGTTGGTATCGATGGTGAAACACCAGCCCCAACAGGCCCTACACAGGGTTCCCATGCAGGCTGACGGTCTCGTAGGCAGCACATGTAGCTCCAACATCTGACTTACATTGTGTCGTGTGTGATACACAATTGCTCAAACATAGAGAACATAGTTCCCATGCCAAATGCAGTGCACAGTCTACACCATCTCTGAGGGCTAACCTGGAAGTGTTGGCTACTGTTCCTCTCTACTATAAAGAAATGTAATGAGGAAAATATACACATCGTGGTGAGTTAGCCAAAGTGCGGGGAGGGGGGAAGAAACAATAGCAGAGTAACTTTTTCTCGCGTTTTCTTTGAAAGGGTGGGTGGGAAGTTTGAGGGAGTGATGCTCTAATACCCCGGATTGACGAGCCCTTCTCAAAGGAGGACAGAAGTAGAGCAGATGAGGGGATCTACACAGTACGGGGTACCCGAGGATTTCTCAGGATCAACGATTTGGAGAAAACCCTCTTTCCTTGAACTCGGATTGTCCAATTGCCGTTCAAAAAGGCTCTTGGCTCTTATGATGCCCAGTATATGGCTGACCCTTGAGTTGGAGCCAGACCACCTCAGTTTCCTCATCCGTGCAGCAAATGTTTACTATTTCTGGAGGGCCTACTCTTTTCCTGAGTTCTATGTGCTTCTCCTTGTGAACTCACTCAAGATCTTTCACTGGCTTATAGAAAAAATTCTTCTTCAACATGTTTTATAGGAATCTCTCATGCTGCCACTTTAGGCCTATGTCTCTGGCTTATTTCACTATCACAAAACCTTACTGGAAAACTCCGAATGAAGAGCTAGACTTCAGCATACGCTGTAACCACATTTTCTCTCTTAAGCCTTTAGTCATCCTGAGGAACTTGTCTTATTTTACAGCTCCTGCTCAAAAGCACATTTAACGTCCATTGTTTTCTTCCTGAAAGGCAATGTGTTGACACCCTAGACCATTTGGCCTTTTGAGCAACTTCCTAGTTTGGTCGCGTGTCCAGAAACCAAGTGCTATCTTTGACCAGTAAACTCAGCAGCAAACTGAATACCAGGGAAAGGCTCTACTGTTTTAAAGACAAATGGGAGTCTCAGCAAGGCATGGGCATCACTGTGGAAGAACAATAGTAATAGCAGACATTTAGTACTCATTTTTTAAATGTTTTCCTTAAAGAATTTTTATAATGATATGAATGATTTGAGGTATAAAATGACTGAAGTAGTCATTTGTCTTTTGAAACTATTTCTAGTAATTCCTGTTATTTTACTGTTGTTGCAAATATACACAGCAAAAACATACAGCAGTTTCTTTTTCTAGTAAAACAATTCCTCTTATTAAGAAAATACCTTTTTGGACTTTGCAGGTGTTACTGAACAGCTGTCATCAGTAGACCTCAGTGTGTAGCTGACAATATAACAGTGCTACTCTCCAAGGGCCTGGGGGGTTCTAAAGCCAATGGGATGTAGCAATGGTCATTCCCATTCTGTATACATTTGAAGACTGTCCTTTGGTTTGTCGCTTTAGCCACAGTTTGCAAGGCCTGTCGCTGTGTGCCACAGTGTCTCTCCACCTCAAAACGTGCCCAATACCATTGCTCAGAATCAGCCACTTCATCTCTGATAGGCGCGCATCAGTTTGGTCCATCTGCTGCTTTTTCTCAGCCTTCCAGAGCTGTGCAACACCTGTCGAAGTTGGGCTCCTGTATGGCCTTCTGGCGTCTTTATCACTGATCCTGTTTCCTGCATCTCAATTCAGCTCACCATTCAGCAGCTCCTTGGATCTTACTGTATTCATCCTTCTTACATGTCTAGGCCGTTGGAGTGCTATTCACCAAGCCTAGGCCGTTGAAGCACTATTTACCAAGCCGAAATGTATTGCTGTGAAACTGACTGGGTCTAAGAACTTCATCCTTATTTGTTATCCCTTTTGCCTTCTGCTGGCTAATCAGTTGAGGTAATGAAACTGCAGATCATATCTGCAAAAGACTACTTTAAAGGCAAAGAGCTCAACACCTTATCACTCGGGTGAGGACTTCCTGATTTCTGATGATGCCTGGAGGCTATAGCCTCATCTAAACTCCAGA